TTTGTTGTTTTCCTTATTATTTGATACTTGTAGTAGAGCTTCTCCAAGCTTAGTAATTTCATTAAGCAGTGCATCTTTCTCTGCCCCCCCCCCCCTCTCAATCTTTGCTTCATGCTTCTGTGATGTTTTCCTTTTGCACTAAATATTTATTACGATTACATCTAGCAAAAAAGACGATTGATGTCCAATTTCGAGTTGCTGTGGAACATTTTTGGGATATCTGTTTAAAAAAAAAAATGTTTTAGCCATGGCTGTTGTTTATTTTACTGAGCCTTCAAATATTATCTGCGAGATATGCCAATTTTCTTTACACGGATTTTGTTTTGAATAAGATCAGAAAAGTTATTCTGCTTAGCTTCCTATAAAAATGTAAGCCAGGGGCGTAGCGAGAGGATGGGGCAGGAGGGACAGATGTCCCCGGGCGCCAGCTAGTTAGGGGCGCCAAAATGTGCTTTGATATTATTTTATTGGTGAAAATAATGGGTTTGAGAGTTGAAAAAAAGAAAAAGGGGCGCTTTAAAATGGATCTTGTCCCTGGATGCGAATCTTGTCCCCGGGCGCCAAACACCCTCGCTACGCCTCTGATGTAAGCATGACTTCCGTCAATTCGAATACACACAACAAACTGTCGACCTCCTATTGGCCAACGATCTTGTACGATATTTTACGATCTTTTACGCTGTAGATCAGCTTTTTAAAAATTGACCCCCATCTCTTCACAAATGTTCTTGATTGAAGTTGTCTGTTTTTAATAGTATTTAAAATTTGCATCACTTTGTCAACAACTTTTCTTGATTAATTTTGAAATATTTTTTTTCCTCCATGTTTTAAAAAGAAGAGAATGTTGTTATGGCTTATTTTCGCGTAAAAAAAAAAAAAAAAAATAAAAAATAAAAAAATAAAGAATTAAACCTTTCTTGCGACACGCTACTGTGTTTCGGAACTGAATTACAGCATTTAGATTTCTAAAAATACAGAATTGTTCCAATTAAAAGCTGCATTCTTGCTAATTGTTTAATTACTTTTTAAAAAAATATTAAAAAACAAAAACACTAGATTCCAACAGGTTGGGATCCCCAGCTTTAGACTAGAAACGTTGTTATGCCAGGATATTCATATGTCAAATTACCAGGGGTCCTCAAACTCCAAAGGGGGGGGGGGAGTTTACTGTTCACTCAGCAACTGTGTGAGGTCAGACTTTAAAAAAAAATTCATATGCAGACTGCACACAACTTGAAGTGCACAAAAAAAAGTAAAGAACCATACAATATTTAAAATGAAGAATAACTTTAATCAATACAAACCTTACAGTATTTTAATAATAAGAAAGGGACAGGCTTTTGGCGGGTAAAATGTTCCCTAAACATGTCTTGGACTCAATCAGTTCGTCTGGAACTGGTCAGAGTTTTCGAGGAAAAGTCTTTTAACAGGTAATGGTGTTGATAAAAATGGTCGACCTCTTGAGTACATGGCTTCTGAGATGAAGACGTGTTCAGAGTGGTGATGCACAACACTTTCTGTACATTGGTATGGGTTGCCACTACCCATCCGTGCCTCATATTCATTGGCAGTTAATAATAATCACAACACCAGTTTAGCCCAGTCCAGGAGCACCACAAGTTGTCACATTGGCTAGTTTAGCCCAGTCCAGGAGCACCACAAGTTGTCACATTGGCTAGTTTAGCCTAGTCCACGAGCACCATAAGTTGTCGCATTGGCTAGTTTAGCCCAGTCCAGGAGCACCACAAGTTGTCACATTGGCTAGTTTAGCCCAGTCCACGAGCACCATAAGTTGTCGCATTGGCTAGTTTAGCCCAGTCCAGGAGCACCATAAGTTATCACATTGGCTAGTTTAGCCCAGTCCACGAGCACCATAAGTTATCACATTGGCTAGTTTAGCCCAGTCCAGGAGCATCATAAGTTGTCAAATTGGCTAGTTTAGCCCAGTCCAGGAGCATCATAAGTTGTCACATTGGCTAGCTCAGCCCAGTTCACGAGCACCATACGTTATCACATTGGCTAGTTTAGCCCAGCCCAGGAGCATCATAAGTTGTCACAAATGTTTTAGCATGTTCACCGTTCTTAGCGTGAGGTGCCTTCGCCGGTTATAAGGCCATGCAAGGAGAATGTCGGAAGTCCATATTCTAAAGGATCTGCTCTGTGGAGTTTTGGCAGAAGGGGTAAGACTTATTGGACGGCTGCGATCTAAGGACGTTTGAAAATAGAGCACGAGGGAAGCCAACATAAAAATCAACTCATTGAAGATCATCAATGAGCACTATTCCAGCTTGCGAACAGCACTGTATGAAGGAGTCAAACAGGCGGAAGATGCGCGAAACGCAGCCCTTACAATAAAAAGAGCATTACGGAAAGCCAAACTGAACCAGGGGTCAAAGTTCTCCGGTGAAAAGTGCAGCCGAGACTGTCATTCCCGGACCTGCCGTGTAAGCCATTTTGATGAAGTGCCAATATGCTATACTCTAACGTCTTGAGAAGACGCTTATAAGGAAGCCATACTACATAAGTGTATACTTTTGGGGCATATTTTAGATCCATTATAAGTGCTCTTTATCAACAGTTGTTGTTTTTTGCACTCGGCCATACTCCTACTGTTCAAATATGGGTAATCCGAATCTATATTAATAGTAATTTTCGGGAAAGCTGTAGACATTGCGGCAAGGATATGGAATTATAACACGTTGGACCGTGGAACCAATTCTTAATTTCAATGACAAGCAAAATTACATATTTTGATCAAGACAGGCCCTTAATTATTTACTCGCGATTACTCACTTGGGATGGTACAGCCTATAACATTGCACCCAAAATGCATGGTCATTAAAATGTGGTTCGCTTTTCAATTATCTAAACTCGTTACAAACGGTCTCCCCGCTGTAGCAAAGATTGATCGTATTACGGTAGTGCAGTTAATTTAACCATCAAAAATGTTATGGTTTGTTTACGAAATCAGTGTATTTAACTTTCATTTTTCCGGGGATGAAATGTTAACTATTGTTAACTATTGTCAAACTCTAGTCACTAGTTTTGAGTCAGGACACAGAACATGACTGTATATTAAACGCTGGTTTCAAAAGAAATAAGTTTAAAACGAATGAAAAATGTATAAAAACTTAATCTGAAATTCAAAAACGTAAAAATTTAGTAAGGTCAGGTATGGTGAGTATTGAATTTAGAGCTTTATTATTTTCCACATGCCTGTGTCATAGACTCATCAAAGCCAGGAAGAAAGAAGATCACGTCAATGTATCGATCTGTGTTAAGTTTAAAAAATTTTTTTTTTAATGAAAAGCCAGTCATCGTGTACCGGGTGAGTTATATAGTTTGTTCACAGAAACATTCCCACGGCTTTGTAAGTTAGCCAGCGAGGTGGCAAGGAATCTGACATCTGACAAAATTAAGCACCACTTGAATCAGAATCAATCAAACACAATATGTCTCAGTCATTAGACTAAATCATACATCTGCTCCAGACATAGGACTAATTCAAGCAAATGTGTCTCCATCAAACTAAATGAAGCACAATCTATCTCTGTCTTCAGACTAAATAAGCCCTAATTTATCTCAGACATCAGAATTAATCACACCCGATCTGCCTTTCAGGCATTTGATTAATTGAGCCCGATACATGATGACTAACAACAAAAAATGTTTTATTTTATGTAATATTTATTATTGCTCTTATAAAGCCGTACAACTGAGAATTCTGTTTGTGAGTTAGAGATTAATTAGACACGAAACATCTGTGTCAATATAACAATATATTTTAAGCTTTAATAATGACTTTACTTAATACACAAGTAAACGTTTCGTCACCTGCCTTCATCAGTACAACAACAAAACATTTTAATAAGTATAAATAAAATTTATATATATATATATATATATATATATATATATATATATATATATATATATATATATATATCATTTTAATAAGTATAAATAAAATTTATATATATATATATATATATATATATATATATATATATATATATATATATATATATACATGTATCCACCGATCACTTTCCCTCTAGAAATATTCAGAATAAAAGATGGCTTTACCTGCATAAGTCGAAACGTGATTTACATCATCCTTTGTAAAAAGTGCGTGAAATTATACTTAGGAGAGACAGGCCGTCGCCTTGGAGACCGGTTTAGAGAACACCCCTATAACATAAGTAAACAAGCCTTTATCCGATCTCCAAACATTTCAATAGCAATAACCATGATGGAATTTTAGACATCGCAGTTACTGGTATACTTTATACTAGTAATACACCGGATAGAATTTATATGGAAAATAAATTAATACGATTTGGTACGTTGACTCCATATGTTTTAAACCATATCCACAATTTTATATAGCTGCCATTTCTTTTTCCTGTTTGTTTGTTTTGCATTTTACTTCAAATCACTTCCTTTCCATTCTACACTACTTTGTTTCTGCCGGGGGTTTGCGCACACTCCTATTTTCTCTCATTTGTGTAAGAAACATATATATATATATATATATGTGTGTATATATATACATATATATATATATATATATATATTCTAGAACATGAGTGTTAGACAATGGCAGTTGATTTTGGTCCACCCTCGTCTTGGTGTATAGTTGTTGTTTTTTTCCAGTATATTTATGCAAATTAAATTTATATATTTTTTAGAATTTTTGTTTCTATACTGAGGAAGGTATGTGCTGAAATGTTCACTTGTGTGTTATGTAAAATTATGATTAACGCTTAACATATAATGTAACATTTACACAAATTGCTCGCGTCTAATTAATTTATTTTCAAGCTTTATCGCAGTCTAACACTATTGTTAGTAACAGTCATTTTTTAAATTAATTTTTTTTAAAGTTAGTTTAAGAGGAGAAAAAAAGACGCCTACCTCCAAAGACCTATCTCACTAATAAATTCAGTAGTTTTGTAACGGATACCAAAACAATGTTGAATGAAACCAAATACGACGCGATGTTTGGCCTCATCAGAGACGAACTCTGCCAACTTATTCTAACAATAAACTTTGCCTCCATCTGTCCCGTCCTGTCCTTGATTGGTCTCGGTGGAAACATCATCAACATCATTGTCTTCATGACACAAGGTTTCCACGACACGGTCAACATTAGCCTTTTTGCTTTGGCCTTCAGTGACATCGGGATGCTTCTGAACATTCTCATCATTGCTATCCTCAGCAATCCCATTTTGCTAGGTTCCGAAATTTTAATTGAGCCGAAAGAGTTCATGACCGCCGTGGCTGGCTGGCCCATCGCCTTCTTCAGCAAGACAACTAGCTGGATAACGGCGTATATCACATTCGAAAGATGTCTGTGCGTTATGGTCCCATTGAGAGTCAAGAGATTGGTCACTCCAAAAATCGTTGTTTATATAATGGTTTCAATCTACGTGATGATGTTTGCAATCCTCATACCCGAGTTCATGACCTTCTATTTAGACTGGACATATTTTCCCGACAGAAACAAAACTCTGATTGGTATGGTGCGGAGAAAGTACAGCAAGGCTGCAAGTGGGATAACTTTTACAATGTTCACATTTAGTCAGTTCCTTTCGGTACCATTTATTATACTTTTCACGGTCATTCTTACTGCAAAGCTACGACAAAAATCAAAATGGCGCATTAAAACCACTTCTGGAGCAGACCGAGCGTTGAAAAAGATGGGTAAAAAAGATTCCAAGACAATTAAAATGGCAACGGCTATCGCAGTCATGCACATCCTTTGTTATTTACCGTCGTACATTGACTTGCTCATTGCTGTCACGGTTCAAGAATTTTACATCGTAGGACTTTACAAGAACTCGTTTTTAGTAGCATTTTCTTTGCCAAGTCTGTTCGAAGCCGTGAACTCGTCACTAAGTATTTTCTTGTATTACAGAATGAGTTCAAAGTACAGGCGCACATTGAACGATATTTTTAAACAAACGAAGACCAATTTTGCTTAACGTTATAAGGTTAAAAATTTAGTATATTTTGGTAAATCTCACGGTTTGAAGTTAACATTACTTAGTTTATTTACACTAACATTTCTGATATCATAATTACAGAATCAACTGTATAGAAATGAAAGAAGGAGAAGAAAAACTACGTATGTTACTTAAAGCACGTGAATATGTCTACCACTAAAAAGGCGGAAATATTAATCCACACAAGTTGTATGAATAGCGAAAATATTAATCCACACACGTTATATGAATAGCGAAAATTTTAATCCACACAAGTTGTACGAAGAAGGGGAAATGTTAGATTAGTTTTACTTTATGGAATTAAGAGTAAACATTACCCTGCACCGTTAATATGAGAAAAGTAATTTAATTTTAAGACAAAATGTACACGTTCAGCCCTGAACACACGTATGAGTTTATTTCTTTATTTTTGGTTTTTTTTTTTTCACCCTAGATGAAAAACAAAAGATTCACCCCGGCCCTTCCAGTGTTAATTTGTGTGCAAGGTGTTTCTCTAGAAATAAAAAGTAATTTAATTTTAAGACAAAATGTACACGTTCAGCCCTGAACACACGTATGAGTTTATTTCTTTATTTTTGGTTTTTTTTTTTTTCACCCTAGATGAAAAACAAAAGATTCACCCCGGCCCTTCCAGTGTTAATTTGTGTGCAAGGTGTTTCTCTAGAAATCGGATATGCAATTCTCTCCCGGAAACAGGAGATCCCGGAATCAACACACGATTTTATTTTTTTCAAAAGGCTTTCGTAGAAATGACCCCATTCGGGAGATCCCAAATACACATTTTTAAAAGAAAATATTCTTTCTTTTTCCATATAATAAATTTCAGCAATTAACAATTTGTCACAAATTGCCGCTATAATTCCAAAACTGTCAAATCCATTTAACTGCGTTGAAATACTAAGCTCAGTAGCTCTGGCACACAGGTTCTCAAGCGTTTTCAAGTCACGACCACGTTCACATAGAAGCAAAGTGGAGAAAGCGGGTTTTACATTTACAAAAGGTAAATTTATGGAAAGAAAAACATTTTAAAACTTAGTTTTCCAGTAAAACGTATTTGGCGACATATTACATTTCATGGTAACTCAATTTTTAAGATACCAATTAAAATTTAATAATCCGTAAGGACAGGCTTTTCCTAATTTTTAGTATAAATCCATAGTAATGCATTTTTTATCATGTTATTTTATATTAATAGTTTGATGCTCCGCCCAATTTTACGTCGCAGATTTATAACACAAACTGTTCCACAACAAAATAAAATTTGACTCACCAAATGCACTTGCGATATTTTAAAGTGTCACATTTCGCTTAGTTATCCGGGAACTTATTTCGTGGAAACGAGGACATCATAGATCCTTTATTTTCACAATGAAAAAGGGGGAAAACTGATTTTTGGGGGTTCGGGTGGAGTTGGCGCTGAAAATTTGATGCAATGTGTTGACATCGGCAACGTGTACACGTACCAAGTTTCAGCTCGATGAGTACGTTAGAAGTGGGTCAGTCAGCTGTCCGGAGATTTTGCTTGCCACTTATCCGCGAACAAAAGCGAAGTTCATATAGAGGGATTACAATACCAAACCATTTTTCTAATTCAAAAAAGATCCATTTAATCTGTCATAGGCCCTTTGTCAAAGCTTTACGTCTTAACATCGATTGATGCAAACCATGATAAAATTCAAAACTCTTTTAAAGAAGAATAAAAACAATGCTGTAAAATATAAGATAGATATTGTAACTCAATTTTTAAGATACAATATATATATATATATATATATATATAGCTTATCTTCTTAATCAATATTTATTATTAATGCACACGAACATTTTGAAAATCCAAATTTTACATTATTTGTAATTGAAGGGTAACCTGAGGACCAAGGGTTCTTAACCAAGGGTATCCACACACCTCGACGTGTGGAAGGCAGTCTCAGTGCATGAGGAAAGACCTAGACTATCAGTTTTAAAAAAAAAGCAGAATTTTATTCTTGGGGGTGCGTAAAATATGTTAGAACTTTCGATGCAGGTGAGGGAAATGTTTTGAGATCAAGATAGGGAGCTGAGCTGAAAAAATGTTAAGAGCCTTCACCTGAGTCATTCGGATAGGTCAAGTAATAGCGTTAGACCGGTGAAAAAAAATTCTTACTGCAACGACAAGCAAAATTGTTACTCTGATAATTTTTTGTTGTTGTAATTACTCTTGCGGCTTGCGATTATCAATAACAGAGCACAACATGGCTGGTCAAAAAAAAAAAAAAATATGTTAGCTCTTCAATTATCCCAGCTAACCCAGTGGATTGATGAAGAAAAAATGTTCGATTACACTAGGTAAAAATAAATGATCGTTCTCTTGCATTGACTTATATTTATAAAAGTTTTTACTTGTCAAAATAGTGGTTTGTACACTGACTCATTGTATTTAAATATTTTCTCAGCGACGAAATATTAATTATTTTTCAAATTCTTCTAATTGTATTCACAAGCTTTAAGTTTTGCCAGAGACAAATAATTATATAGTCCACGCCAAGTTTAATAACAAACTATTTAAAACATTGACACATATAACACTATAAGATGCTATTTAAAAAAAAAAGATTCATAGTTAATAAGTTCAAGCATGGTGAGTGTTGAATTCAAAGCTGTATTATTGTCACGTGTCTGTGTCACTGAGTCATTCTAAGCTAAGAAGAAAGAAGATTACATCAATGTTTCGATCTCTGTTAATTTTTTAAATTTTTTTTTATGAAAGGCGAGATATCGGGCACAGGGTAAGATAATTACTTCACAGCAATATTCACATGCCTTTGTCCGCTGGCCATCGGGGTGGTAAGACATCTCACATCTGACATAATGAAGCTTCAGCTGCATCAGAAAGAATCAAGCAATATGTCTTTTTCATCAGACTGTAGGAAGCAACATCTGTCTCAAAATTCAGATTAAATCAAATACTACTTGTTCATACATCAGAAAAAATTTGGCTATCATCTGCCCCAGTTATCAGAGTAAATCAAGCACCACCAGAGTCAGACATTGAACAAGAAACAACTACATCTGCCTCTGATGTAAGACCAAAACAAGCGCAATCTACTGTTTTACGAAAAGGACGCCCCTTCCATAAAAAGAACAATGTTAAGCTCGGGACGGACCAAACCATCCACAATCCACAACGTCCTAATCCATAGGGGAGAGATGCACGTAGAGAGACACAATTCTTGATTTGAGCCATTTTTTTTCTTCTAAAAAATGCATTGAAATTTCCGGACTTCAAGAAGAATCGTGGGTAGGGAATAATTAGATGTGCAAGCCGGGACGTAGCTATAGATTCAGGAACATCCCGAGGGCGGACCAAGATGTTTTCCACCCAACCCACCAGTTTTCCAAATAGACTTCAATATAAAGAAAAAAGTGTCACCCGGCACGGACTGCCCTATCCGCCCCCTCCCTTCTTCCTACGCCCCTGAGTACAATTGCCAAGCATCGTCAATTCTTGACAACCTGTCACATGACACAGTTAACGAAGACAAGCACACAACAAACACTTTCAGGACAAGCCCCCAAACGTTTTTCAAAGTTCTTCACCTGACAAAGAAATTAATGCACTATCATAAAGTTGTAGCCACTCTGGTGATGAAAATATTGTTGATGTTTATAATTGTTGTGTTTCCAAACAATGGACTATTATTTAAAGTAATTATCCTTTTCTGTGTTGCTCATCTTGCAAACAACGAGTAAAATCGAAAAATCATTTTTTTAAAAGAAATAATGTTTACTCATATTTTAAATAAATAAATTTATTTAAATAAATTGATAGAACAGTAAAATCGATTTAATGCAAAGGTCTTAATTAAAAAAAAATAAATAATAAAATTGGTTGGTACCGTGCCTTTCTATATTTTGCTTTGAAAAGTACACAGTTTCCTAACAATCTGTTTAATTTTGTCATTCATCGCCAATATCTGATTAGGAGAATAATATTTGATCGTCTGCACACGTTATTAAACACCGACCTTGTTTCAGCAAGGAATTGTTTTTTAAATTTAAAATTGCAACGATTCTAGAAGTTCTGTGCTAAAGAATTATAAAAATCTTTAAAGTTTCCTGCTACTGTTAAATTTTCAAGTGTGTGATTGTTATTTAAATGTTATGTCGTGTTGTTGAATTTTCTGAAGACAAGCAACCATTTCTATGAGCCGTCATCAAATACATCATAAACGACATACATCATTTGAGTATAAAAAAAATTGATTCAGGTAAATAAAAAAAAAACAGTTGCATTTACAAGCCCATTAATAAAAACCAAATTTACTCACAATTGCTTTAAAAACATGATATCACTGAACTAACGGCAAAATATTTTGGCCTACTCTTTAGCTCTTCTGAACTACAAAAGAAACGGTGATGTAAAAAGATCATAATATGCAAGTCTTTCCCGAGTGGATCGTGTCTACTCCACCTATCATTGCGCACCCTGAAGCGCTCTTATTCACGCCCCCCCCCCTTCTCGTCATGCACTTGATCAAGTAAGCACTTAATGCACACCTAAGAGTACATTTCTACGCCATTGCGTGACAAAATTAAAACGAGGTCTACCACTTTGTCACCTCCCCTTAATACAACGCGATGATGATCAACCCAGAACTGTCGAAAGAATTGATGAAATATTTTGTGACGAAAGGCCAGATAAGGACACCGAGCCTAAACTTTATAATGTAAAATTTTCTGAGTCCGCGTGGGCAAAAGAACCTTACAAGTCCGTGTATCTGGAATTGTATTATATATTACGAACCTCTTCTCGTATTCCACACGCCGTAAGATGGTTGTGTTGCCCCAGCTAGTACTCGTTAATTTAGTATCTACTGATGTCACTCCTACAAAATTTGGTAAACCCATTTTCATAAACCAAGTCAGCTGGTGTTGTAAAGTAAAAACTAATCCAGCTGAAAATGCTAATTGGCTGAAACCGAAATTAAATTTCGGGATAAAAGGAAATGAAGTTCATGTCTTTTTTCCTGCAATTTCGTAAATGGTTCAATAAAACGCTCATTGTTACACTTCCTTGGAAGAATTTCGCATTGAGCCGGACATGTGGGAACAGTCCTCAAAGTATCGAGACAAGCCTGAAAAACCGGAGAGAACTCTGTACCTGGAGTTGCACCATCCACCCCCTACACCTTAAGCACAAGAAATTTTGGTGCATGAATTGGCCTGATTAACTATTTGCGAACCCACAGACAGACTAAGCCTCGACATCAGGCCGATGTTTAGAATGGTCATTGTCGACCCTCGACAGACGAAATGCGAGCCATATGGTCTACGTCTTAACACCGCGCGAAGCAAACACTGATAAATTTATTTTTTTTAAATCTAAGGAATTTAGGTCAATTATTATTATTTGTGGTTTTATATAGTGGGGTATCCCAGCCTAGGGCTGGGCTCACAATGCTGTACATACAATTTAACATACATAACCATGAACTTAAATAGTAACGTACATAGATTAAAGATACGTATATATTTCTCATATCTTCTTAGCGTCAGTTCACACGATCAATATTTGATGTTAAGTGAATGTAAACATTTCGAAACTCTGAGTCATTTGTAATTGATGGTTGTACTGTCGCCCAGCGGTTCTTAACCAAGAGTGTCCCTCACAACTTGAGGTGCGGGGTCGGCAGTGTTATTAGTTGGGGATAACCCAGAATATCAGGTAAATTTGAATTTGTACGATTTTTTTTAATTCTTGGGGGTGCGCCCAAGGTATGTAGTAAGTAGGGTGAAGGAGATGGTTTAAAATCAAAAGAGGGTTCAGAGCTGCACACAAAATTTGAGAGCCACCGCTGTAGTCATTCCGATAAGTCTAGTAATAGCGTTAGACCTTGGAACATGTACTTACTACCATGACAAACAAAATTGTACGTTCTAAAGAAACGATATTTTCGTAATGACTCACGCCGCCTGCGACGGTAAATAACAGTGCGCAACAATTGGGTCATTAAAAATATGTTAGCTAGATACAATTTCATGATCGTTCTCTTGCAGACTCTTATATTTATCAAACTTTTTACTCGTCAAAGTAACCGCTTGTAAAGTAATCGGTGTATAAAGGTATCGTTCAGCCACGAAATACCTATTTTGTCAAATTCTTCTATTTCTAGTCAGAAGATTTCAGTTTCGTCAGAGACAATTAATTGTATGTTCCACGCTAAATTTAATAACAAACCAATTAAAGTATATAGACACCCATAGCAACGTAAAGTGAAATTTAAACAAAAAATAACGTAAATATTTAATAAGTTCACGTATGGGGATTACTGAACTCAAAGCTTTATTTTTTCCACATGCTTGTTTGATAGACTCATCCAAAAATGAGAAGAAAGAAGACATTGTATCGATTTAAGTAAAGCTTCTATTTTTCGTTATGAAAGGCGAGATACTGGGTACCCGATAAAAGTGTTTCTCCATAGCAATAATCACACGGCGTCGTCCGCTGGCGGGTGAGGCGGAAAAAAATCTTACATCCGACATAATCAAGAACCATCTGTATCAAAGGGACTAAATGGAACACAATCTGTCTCAGTCATCTGACTCTGTCGAGGACCATCTATCTCAAAACTCGGAATAAATCAAATACCATCTTTTCACACGTCAAAATAAAAATCTATCGCAGACATCAGACTAAATCGAGCAAAATCTGTTTGAGTGATCAGAGTAAACCAAGCACCATCAGTCTCAAACATTAGATTTAAAATCTACACCTGTCTCAGTCATCAGAGTTAGTCAAGAACCATCTGACGCGGTCACCAGGCTAGATCAAGCACCACCTGCCTCAGACATCAGAATATATCAATCAGCACCTGTCTAATACATCAGGTTATATCACGCACCGTCTAGCACAGGCATAGGGACAAGATGAAACACGATATATCATGTCTAACACCCCAAAAAATTGTATTTTTATAATGTATATTATATCTTGAATTACCCTTTTATTATTTTTTAGTAAAGAACATTTTTACTAGAATTTAAAAAACGTTAAGACAAAAATATAACGGTACTTCGATCAATAAATTTCACTAATACATCTAGTAGTGGTGTACTGGATATCAGAGCAATGTTGAATGAAACTAAATACGACGCACTTCTTGGACTTATCAGTTACGAACTCTGCCAACTGATTCTAACAATAAATCGTGCCTCCATCATTCCCGTCCTCTCTTTGATTGGTCTCGGTGGAAACATCATCAGCATCATTATCTTCATGACACAAGAATTCCACGACACGGTCAACATTAGCCTTTTGGCTTTGACCGTCAGTGACATGGGGACGCTGCTGAGCAATCTCATCATCGCTATCTTCAACAATCCCATCTTACTCGGTTCAGAAATTTTAATTGAGCCAAAAGATTTTATGAACGCAGTTGGTGGGTTGCCCATCGCCTCCTTCAGCAAGATCACCAGCTGGATAACGGCTTACATCACATTCGAAAGATGTCTGTGCGTTGTGGTCCCATTGAGAGTCAAGAGATTGGTCACTCCTAAACTCGTTGTTTTCATAATGGTTTCAATCTACGTGATGATGTTTGCAACCCTCATACCCGAGTACATGACCTTCTATTTAGATTGGAAATATTTTCCCGACAGAAACAAAACTCTGATTGGTATGGTGCCAAGAAGGTACAGCGAGGCTGCAAGGGGGGTAACATTTAAAATTATCACATTTAGTCAGTTTCTTTCGATACCATTTATTATACTTTTCACGGTTATTCTGACTGCAAAGCTACGACAAAAATCAAAATGGCGCGTTAAAACTACTTCCTGCGCGGACCGTGCGTTGAAAAACATGAATAAGAAAGATTCCAAGGCAATTAAAATGATAACGGCTATCGCATTCATCCACATCCTTTGTTATTTGCCGACTTACATTGGTTTGCTCATCGTCGTCACGGTTCCAGAATTTTCCATTGTCGGATTTTACAAGAACTCGTTTGTAGTAGAATTTTCTTTCTCTGGCTTGTTCGAAGCCGTGAACTCGTCACTAGGTATTTTCTTGTATTACAGAATGAGCACGAAGTACAGGCGCATATTTAACGTTATTTTTAAACAAAAGAAGGCGGAAATGTTTCGAAAAGTTGTAAGGTTAAAAATTTAGTATGTTTTAGGATTTTACACGCTATAAGATCTATTTTTAAAAAACACTGAAAATAGTATACACAAAAAAAAGATACCAAAGCTAATGAAGTTAACATTGCTCAGTTTATTTACACTCACATTTCTCATATCATAACTATAAAACATAGTGTATAAAAATGAGAAATGGAGAAGAACTTATGAACTTAAAGCACTGAATATGTCTATATTTTATTATTACTAGCGAGAACCCAGCATGCGTCGCCATGCCACTCAAAGAAAAAAAATGTTTGTATTTCGCTTACGTTTTTAAAGTAATTTTAAAAAGAAAATATTTTTTGTTTTTGTTTTTTTCCGTCTGATGCGTACAAAAATCAATTAGAAGTTTGTTTTCGACGCAGTCAACATAGAGCTGTCCAGGCATGAAGCCCGGATTTTCCAAGTCTATTCCACCCACTGGTAGCGATTGATGCAGTAGGTCTGTTTAAAATCACATTTATATAACTCACATACAGAATTTTAAAAAAATAGGGCCACCGGCCCAAAACTCAAAATTGTAAAATGGTTGTACCGATTCAGAAACCTACTTATTATGTCACCCACAAGCTGATATGCAGCGTTTTATCTGATTCAATTCCATTCAGCCATGCAATATCTCTGTTTCATATTATATTTGTAGAGCTCATATAAGGACACAATAATTTAAAACCCCCGGTTGATTATTTCAAAATGGATCTCCTATTTCTGAAACCTTTACGGGTTTTGGCACAGCAACATACTAAAGTTTTATCGCAATAGGATAAATGGTATAGGATCGCATACTTACGGAAATTATAAATAAAAAATAGAAAAAATAAAAAGAATCTAGGGTCCTGGGCCCAAACGTGGAATATGGTAAATGTTTTTAATAATTCAGAAAAACATTGCGGGCGTGTGTAAAAAAAAAAAAAAAGCAACTAACACATGTTTTATCGCAATCGGCTGACTGTTATACGAGCACATGCGGGACATACATTCAAATATTAATTGTTTTATATGTATAGATATAGTTTACCGAATAAAAGATACCTTTTGCACAACATATTTATGGAAGCGTTCTGTCTGGTCTGTCTCTCTGTCTCTATGTTGTCAGTCTGTCTAACTCTCCTTCTCTCTGTGGGGTCAGTCTGTCTATCTAACTCTCCCTCTCTCTGTTGTCAGTCTGTCCATCTAACCCTCTTCCATTCTGTTGTCAGTCTGTCTAGTCTAACTCCCCCTCTCTTTTGTCAGTTTGTCAGTTTGTCTGTCTTAACTCTTCCTCTCTCAATGGCGTTAACAAAACGTAGGCACATTTGCATAAGTGTACCCTCAAATATCAAACCCCAATAATTTTACATACTTGAAAATTTAAGTTTGAAAAATGATGAGTTAAGATTTTCTTTCCTAAAACGGAAATATATTTGTTTTTTTTTTACTTTGCGTAATGTAATAAGGGTGTATATTATTAGGATATGTATATCATTTTTGTAAAAAAAGACACACAGGGCTGTTGCAGAAGTGAAAACTGGGAAATGTATTCTTTAGATTAAAGAATTCTTTGTTTAATGACTTGGTGATAATTAAGTAAAAAAACAAAGGAAAAGTTTTGGTAAATTTTTAATGTAGATATCAGTATATAAAATCTCGATAACATAACATATATTTATAATAGTATATACAGTTTTTGTTTTAAATTTAAGATGTAGTTTTTACAATTTTTAGGGACACAAAATTAGCTTAGACCACGAAAAGTGTCAAGGCAGGCCAAAAATTTAACAATTTATAGATTCAGTCCATCTAAAGGGTTTTCTCTAGTGTAGAAATCAGCCGTAAATGATTTCCTTTAATGGTAATAATTATTTAATTATTGATCAATAAGATTGGGTAATTTAAGGTCATGTTAAGAGAGAAATAAATGTAGTTTATAGTGTAGACATATAATATATATCGGAAAAATACTTATTAAAACTTTTAATTCTGTTAGAAGCCTAAACGTCATTACATAGATACCTATTTTTAAAAAATACGGAATTGTAATGTTTTGGCAATTGCAGGTAGACAATATCACAAAGTGCCTGCCATTATTGTCACGATAACATCAGGTGATTATTTTCTAGTACTCTGTTAAGGACCGACCCACTTTTACAACAAATACTTGCTTCCCAAAATCAAGAAAATATTACGCATCAAAAGCTTTTGTGAATTTCTTTTTGTTGAGAACAAAATGTGTTCATTTCTGTTGCTGCCCACGGATACTACGTCCAAGCTAATTGATATTTCTTATTTTTATTTGTATACCGTTTTTTCTGTTGTTTTGTTGGCTTTCTGCCGACACGTTCGTTGTTTTGTTGCGTTTTTTTTTCAGGTTTAACCCTACTCTATTTAATTTATTCTACATTGTGCTAACCTGATTGCAGTCTCTCCCCTTATTGCCCTGAATATACACATACTTTTTTCTTTGTCCTGAGTACTGAGCAAAAACAAGGGCAAGGGTCCCCCTAATTAAAAATTAATAAAATCAACATGCATTGTGGTGCAAATGCAATGTATCTTTCAGGCAATGTGTGAAGGGGCATTGAGACTTTCATTTATTTACTATTTGATGTCTCGTGGAGAAATGCTAAGAATACAACATAACAAAGCACAAAATATATGTGTACTACAAATCAACTTATGATAGTATATACAGGAAATACCTGTACAATGCTCTCCTGGAACTTGGAGTCCCTTACAAGCTTACCCGACTCATACAAATGACGTTGGATAACTCCAAAAGTAGAATCAAAGTACAGAGAGAGTACTCGAGGGAGTTCCCAATTAATCAGGGCCTTAGACAATGAAATCCATGTATCATTCATCCCATTAGAGACACTCGTGTGAGCGCCAGAGAGGTAGTACAGAACAATCATAAGGAACTTTAATAAGCCAGCCACTGCAATACCTGGGATTTTCAGATATAGCGCTACTTGGTAGAATCAGCAATGATATAACTTTCAGGAAACTTGAGAATGTCACGGTCACAGCTGGTCTTGATGTAAATAAATCTAAAATATGCATATGATAATGTCAGGAAATACGCACGCTGATGACAACATCAATATAATATATGAACAACCAAATATTTGAGAGAGTAGCTACTTTCAAATTTCTAGGAATGACTATAAATAAGCAAAAGGAAATACAATCGGAGGTGAAAGAAAGGAAAACAGCATGCAACCATTCTTATTTCAACTTACAAACGCTACCACGAAGCAAAAACCTCTCGAAAGGGAACAAAGAGGCTCTATGCACCACTAACATAAGACCAGTAGTAACTTAAGCAAGTGAGACTTGGTTCCTACCAGAAAAGCTGAGAACCTGCTCAATATATGGCCCGATGATAGACATTTTTGTTTTGAGAATCCGTACAAATCAAAAACCATATCAACTGTACAAATACCCATCCATTGTCCCAGCAATAAAAAAAGGCAGACTACCCATTGAAAGGATGCCAGATTATGGAGCAGCAAAAACGATCCACATGTAGAAACCTAGAGGCAGACGTCTCACCATTCGACCAAGACTGGAATGGATTGACGATGTAGAGAAGGACTTAAAAAGATTGAGGGTTCGTGCATGGAAGCGGAACGCGCTGGATCGATCCAAATGGAAGAATGTGGTGGAGCAGGCTAGGGCCCTACGTGGGATTAAGCGCCACTGATGAAGACATTTCAGACTTTTGGGTGGACCACGCTAGAAATAGCCATAATAATAGGACATCACTAACTCTTCCACCAGCCCAATATTAACTATATCCATTCCAGTTGGGAGCCCTAAGGCTCTGCTTTTTTGTCGAGAGATAATCCCTAGCGTAGACACGCCCTCTCTAGCGTAGACACGCCCTCCCTAGCGTAGACACGCCCTCTCTAGCTTAGACTCGCTCTTTAAAACTTTACTGGCCCCGGACATTTTTGATAATTCAAAATGCAAGGATGCATTTTTTGTACATAGTTAAATATAGTTTTTGCATCATTATACACTTCACTGGAGAGCAACAGGAGAGATACTATTTAAGATTTTAGGTGTCACGTGACCTCGGAGCCATCGTGTGAGGTCTGCAACCAGTATAGCTGCATGGGGCATCGTATATTTTAGGGGCTTAAAGTTGGGCTGTAATTACTTTAAACGATCAACTTTTACTGCTAGGTAGGGAAGGACAAACCCGAAAAGTAACAGGGGTGCCACAAAAGGTCAAGCGACGTCTCTGCTTTAATAAGTGTGTTATACACATATACATTTTCTATTTTATTGAAGAGTAATGTGTTTTTTAAGTTGTTAAAACGTTTATTAATATTTCAAAGTCTTACCAAAGTCAACAAAGAAAAAAGATCAGGGGTTCTCAAAAGGGGCGATAAAGCTCCCAGAAAATTGTGGGATGACCCAAAGAGTCGGTGAAATGCTATTTTGGTTCGAAAAAAAAAAGAGGGGGGGTGGACGGACGCTGTGATTACCAAAATGGACGCTGATGAATATTATTTTTTTTTAAAGATTTGCAATCAGTGTTAAAAGATTTTTAAAAAAAAATTATTGTCATTACTGTAATTGAAGAAGAATCTTGGATAGGCAATAGTCAGACGTACACGCAATGGCTTAGCTATTGTTAGGGAAACTCGGGTCGGGCTAAGATGTTTTCCACCCCCCTCTCTCTCTCTCTCTCTCTCTCTCTCTCTCCAGTTTTCAAAATATTCCGCACCTAAATAGAAAGAAACATGCGCCTCCTGTCGCGGACTGCTCTTGCCGCCCCTCTTCTTACACCAGAGAATTCAATTGGCCAACCAATCAATTCACGATAACCCATCACCTGATAACCCATCACGAGGCAGTTCATACAGACAACCATAGGACAAATATTTTCATGACGAACCACAAAACGATTGTCAAAAATCTTCTCTTAGCAAAGAAATTCAAACCCTATCATAAACGTGTAGATCTAGCTTCTCTTGTGATGAAAATATTATTGATGTTTATAATTTTTAGGTTTTTAAACAATGAAATATTTATTTGAAGGAACATTTCTTTTTGTGTCGATCAACGTGCAAAATAAAAACGTTTAGTATTTTATTTATCATTTTTAAAAAAAAAAAAAAAAAAAATTATATTTCAAATAAACGTAAATTGTACATAAAGTGCAATGACACTTGGGCGAATTAACGTAAATGTTTCAATAAAAAAATGGTTGCAAGTGTGTGTGTTTGTTCACTTCCATAAGCTTATTTTTGACCATGTTGTGGAATTTTTTTAAAGACATATTTTCATATCTATGTGCTGCCATCAAACAAATCAAAAACGACTTTGATAAATTTAAGACAAGAATAAATTTAAAAATTTGATTTCAGGTAAGTAAATTACCAGTTACAGTTGATTCACAAGTACTTAAAAAAAAACAACAACTAATTATATCACTGAATTAAAGGCAAAATGAGTTGCCCAATTCCTTAGCTCTTCTGAACCAGAAAAGAAACCGCTTTGCAACAGATCATTATATGCGAGTATTTCACGAGTGGATCTTGTCTGCTCCCGCTATCATTGCGCACCGTGATGCGCTAATATTCGCTGCTTTCCCCCGTCGTACTCTTAATCAAGTACGCACCAAATGCACACATAAAAGCCCTTTCTACGTTATTGCGTGTCAAAAAAGAGGTCTACCACATTGTCCTTCACTCCAATAATATATTTTCGATGATGATAAAGCCAATATTGTGGAAATAATTGATATAACATTTTGTGATGTGAGCCCAGATAAGGACGCCGAGCTTAACCTTTATGATATTTTTAAACGTAACCTGATCCGTGTAAGCGAAATGACCCTCGAAGTCCGTTTATCTTGAATTATATTAAGCTATTATGGAAATCTTGACGTACTTTACACGCGCAACATGGTTGGGTTGATCCAGCTAGTACTCATATATTTTATATATATATTTATATATATATATATATATATATATATATATATATATATATATATATATATATATATATATATAT